CATTGGGTGGCCAAGGTATTTGAGCTTCAGTTTCATTATCTGGCCTTCCAGGGAACAGTCAGGGTTGATTTCTTTGAGGATTGACTGATTCGATCTCCTTGCAGTCCAAGGGACTCTCAAGTCTTCTCCAGCACCATAGTTCAAAAGAATCTATTCTTCGGCGCTCGGCCTTCCTTATAGTCCAACTCTCGCAGCCATACATGACTACTGGGAATACCATTGCTTTGACCATGCGGACTTTTGTTGGCAGGGTGATGTCTCTACTTTTTATCATGCTGTTTAGGTTCGCCATCACTTTCCTCCCAAGGAGCAGGCGTCTTTTAATTTCATGACTACTGTCACAGTCTGCAGTGATCTGGGATCCCAGGAACGTGAAGTCTGTCACTACTTCCACAGCTTCCCCTTCTATTTGCCAAGGAGTGATGGGGCCGGATGCCATGATCTTAGTTTTTTTGATGTTGAGCTTCAAGCCCACTTTTGCGCTCTCCTCTTTTACCCTGAGCAAGAGGCTCTTAAGGTCCTCTTCACTTTCTGCCATTAGAGTGGTATCATCTGCATATCTGAGGTTGTTGATCTTTTCCCCAGCAATCTTAATTCCCGCTTGTGATTCATCCAGGCCAGCATTTCGCATGATGTACTCTGCATATATATTAAATAAGCAAGGCGACAATATACATCCTTGTCGTACTCCTTTTCCTATGCTGAACCAATCAGTTGTTCCATATCCGGTTCTAACTGTCGCTTCTTGGCCCTTATACAGGTTTCTCAAGAGACATGTGAGGTGGTCTGGTACTCCCATCTCTTTAAGGCCCTGCCATAGTTTGTTGTGATCCACACAGTCAAAGGCTTTAGCATAGTCAATGAAGCAGAAGTAGATATTTTTCTGGTACTCTCTTGCTTTCTCCATAATCCAGCGAATGTTGGCAATTTGATCTCTAGTTCCTCTACCTCTTCGAAACCCAGCTTGTACTTCTGGTAGTTCTCTATCCACGTACTGTTGAAGCCTAGCTTGTAGGATCTTGAGCATGACCTTGCTAGCGTGTGATATGAGTGCAATTGTGCGATAGTTTGAACATTCCTTGGCATTGCCCTTCTTTGGGATTGGAATGTATACTGACCTTTTCCAATCCTGTGGCCACTGTTGCGTTTTCCAAATTTGCTGGCAAATGGAGTGCAGAACTTTAACAGCATCCTCTTCTAAGACTTTGAATAGCTCAGCTGGGATACCATCACCTCCACTAGCTTTGTTGTTAGCAATGCTTTCTAAGGCCCATTTAACTTCACATTCCAGGATGTCTGGCTCAAGGTCAGTGATTATACCGTCGTGTTTGTCAAGGACATTGAGGTCTTTCTTGTATAGTTCTTCTGTGTATTCTTGCCATCTTTTCCTAATCTCTTCTGCTTCTGTTAGGTCCCTACCGTTTTTGTCCTTTATCATGGCCAGCTTTGCATGGAACGCTCCCTTGATTTCTCCAATTTTCTTGAAGAGATCTCTAGTCCTTCCCATTCTATTGTTTTCTTCTATTACTTTGCACTGTTCATTCAGGAAGGCCTCCTTATCTCTCCTTGCTGTTCTCTGGAAATCTGCGTTCAGTTGGGTAAATCTTTCCTTTTCGCCTTTGCCTTTCGCTTTCCTTCTTTCCTCTGCTATTTGTAAAGCCTCATCAGAAAGCCACTTTGCTTTCTTACATTTCTTTTTCTTTGGGATGGTGGTGATTGCTGCCTCCTGTACGATGTCACGAACCTCTGTCCATAGTTCTTCAGGCACTCTATCTATCAAATCCAGACCCTTGAATCTATTCTTCACCTCTACTGTATATTCATCAGGGATGCGATCTAGGTCAAACCTGAATGGCCTCGTGGTTTTCCCAATTTTCTTCAGTTTAAGTCTGAATTTTGCAATGAGTAGCTCATGATCTGAACCACAGTCAGCTCCAGGTCTTGTTTTTACTGACTGGATAGAGCTTCTCCATCTTTGACTGCAAATTATATAGTCAATCTGATTTCGGTGTTGCCCATCTGGTGATGTCCATGTGTAGAGTCGCCTCTTAGGTTGTTGGAAAAGGGTGTTCGCTATGACCAGTGTGTTCTCTTGACAAAACTCTGTTAACCTTTGCCCTGCTTCATTTTGCTTTCCAAGGCCAAACTTGTCTGTTATTCCAGTTACCTTTTGACTTCCTACTTTAGCATTCCAGTCCCCTATGATGATGAGGACATCATTTTTTGGTGTTAGTTCTAGGAGGTGTTGTAGGTCTTCATAGAACCGGTCCACTTCAGCCTCTTCTGCATCAGTGGTTGGGGCATAGACTTGGATTACTGTGATGTTGAATGGTTTGCCTTGGAATCGGACAGAAATCATTCTGTCATTTTTGAGATTGTATCCCAGTACTGCCTTTTGCACTCTCTTGTTGACTATAAAGGCCACACCATTTTTTCTACGAGATTCCTGGCCACAGTAGTAGATATAATGGTCTTCTGAGTTAAATTCGCCCATTCCTGTCCACTTTAGTTCACTGATTCCTAGGATATCGATGTTCAGTCTTGGCTGCCCCCCCCCCCAATCCCAAAGCATTGCTGGAGGTCAGGGGACCCCTTGGTCGAAAGGCCACCCACCACTGGGAATGGCAATGAAGAAGGGAAATGCAGCCAAACCGCTCTGCCTCAGTTTTCTATCCGCAGGGCTTCTACTGGTGCGAGAGACTCCACTGGCAGAAGAGGAGGAGGAGAGTTGGATTTATACCCCGCCCTTCACTTGGGAGTCTCAGAGCGGCTTACAATCTCCCTTCCCTTCCCCTCCCCACAACAGACACCCTGTGAGGTAGGTGGGGCTGAGAGAGCTGAAGCTGCCTTAGACTGGATCAGGCCATTGGTCCATCAAGGTCAGTGCTGTCCACGGAGACGGGTTCTCCAGGGTCTCAGGCGGAGGTCTTCCACATCACCTACTGCCAGGTCCTTTCAACGGGAGATGCCAGGGACTGAACCTAGCACATTCTGCATGCCAGCAAGAGGCTCTACCACTGAGCCACAGCCCCTCCATCTTATTATTCCAATACCGGTTAGCCCCCTCACCCTTTTTTGCAATTTAAGTGCCAAGGTGACGTCAGATCCAAAATGTCCTCAGCTTACCTTCCTGAACATGTCCCTGAGCCGTTCCTGTCCTCCCCCGTCTCCCTGATGGGAAGAAGCATTCCCATCACAGCTTTCAAGCCAGCGCTGAACCCTTCCGAGATGACTGACGGCTCAAAGACCGCCTGTGAGCTGATGTTCTTGGATGGGGTGGGAGCTTGAAGGGGGCGGGGCGGAGCTGAGGATCCAATGCGCCGTCTAGTCTGATGCAGTTGTGGGCAAAAGATCCTTCATTCCACCTTTATTGAGGGCGCAGGGAAATACATCGCAGCACGGAAACAATCAACACCGAAGGAACACGGAGCCCACAGAAGGGTTACCAGGCCTCCCCCCGCCCCCAATCCCCATGCAGGGTCCCACCCGGGTCTAATCCGGCAGAACAGGTTTCGTGGCTTATCTTTGCTTAGACCTCCAATTGTCTTTCAAAGGCAAATCAGAAGCACGTATGGACCCGATTCAGACTCGGCACTGGGTGTTCAGCTCCCACTGAACTCTCTCTCCCCTCCTCCTTCCAGTCCCAACTCCAATCTGCGCCCTACACGCCTGTGACCTGCCTTCTAGACAGACGGACAATGCAAAGTCTTCGAGACACAGATCTATGGTCCCCCGATGCCCCTTTACTCACCACCCCTTGATGGATCACCACACTAGCTGGCCCCCGTTCCCGTGACTGGCTACAACTGGGGAGTGAAAAGTTGCCACAGGTGTGTGTACTTAGAGCCAGCTGCCAGCAAGAGAGCGTCTCGTAAGGGGAACGAGGCAAGCCAGAGGCTGCTTTCTGTTGCATTCTACTGCAATACAGTTCAAACTAAACCGAGCACAGCACGAAACTGAGGGCTGAGGTGGAAATCTCGGGGCGACGGATGATACTGCGATCCTCTCGGCCCTGCTTACAGAAATTAGGCAGAGTGAGATCCAACGTCAGGCTCAGAGGGTTTAATTTCGAGGCTGGGCCTTAAACGGAAATGCCTGCCAAAGAGGCGTGCGAAGTCGAGCAGCTGCGCAGGTTCAGCAACAGGCAGGGGAGGAAACCGGAGCACAGGACCCATTCCTCTCTCTGTGCCCCCTTCCCTCCTCCGAGCCAAAATGACACCGGATCCGATTACCCTGCCATGACGGAAACAGCACACAACCGCGCCCTGACTCATTGGCATGGGCGTGCGGGGGCCTCGATCCAAGGGCATCCCCTGAACACTGGCTCCGGAGGGTGGCTCAGGGAGCTTTCTGGGGGTTCGGGGTATGTGGTGTGTCATTAGAAGAAGGAGGAAGAAGGAGAAAGAGAAGAAGAGTTGGTTTTATACCCCGCCCTTCACTACCCGAAGGAGTCTCAGAGCGGCTTACCATCTCCTTTCCTTCCTCTCCCCACAACAGACACCCTTTGAGGAAGGTGGGGCTGGGAGAGCTCTGAGAGAGCTGTGACTGACCCAAGACCACCCAGCTGGCTTCATGTGGAGGAGAAGTGGGGAATCAACCCCGGTTCTCCAGATTAAGAGTCCTGCCACTCTTAACCACGACACCACACTGGCTCTATCTGGAAGAGAGAGAACGGGAAGCTGAAGACCAGGAAGCAGCTCTGCAATGTCTCAGTGTCATTGGCGTGAACCAGGAGGCCAAGCCACTGCACAGATTCAGGCAGCAATATTGAGGGGCGGGGGACGACGACCATGTGTGCACGGGAGGGAGAGAAAGCAAGGTTCCAGCCCCAAAGACGACATTTCGGTGGGTTGCACCCGATGGTCTCCCCACCCCTCCCTGCCCACCAAACTGTCCCTCTCCGAGACTGTCAAAACCAAAAGTAGATCTGCACTTCCGGAAGCAAAAGGCTGCTTGGATACCCAACCCCCACCCCACCCTTCCCCAGCCGCTACGTTCATTTGAAGCCCTTGAGACACCCGGTGTCCGTTCAGTGGTCTCCCTCCCTCGTCCTTTGCCTTTTGTCCCCCCAAGACCCTCAACGACAGCACGGCTCTGCCACGGAGCGTGACGTCACTGTGCCGCTGCCGCAAAAAAACCCAATAAACCATCTGTGCTATTTCCAAAGGGACTGAATCCTTCCTCCTGGCCTCTGTGGCAGAGCCATCGGAAAGCAAGTATGTTCTGGCCCTCGGTAAAGACCCCCGCCGATCGAAGCCGTCAAACCCTGCTAGGGGGTCTTAAGAGCACGGCTGGAGCCAAGAAGTTGCAGTTCCTAAGGAGGAGGACTTCGTGTGGCCTCCCAGAGGGCCTGACATCAGTGCGGCCGGCTGCTCGACTCCGAGAGCTGTCGCTGGCGGGGAGGGGTGTAGCCGTTCACATGCCCGTTGAGGAGCCGTTTGCCCAGGCCTCCGTTCAGGATGTCTTGGATGTGCTGTACAATCAGGTTAATGGCCACTGGGGGATGAAAAGAAGGGGGGAAGTTTAGGATGGTATGCACAGAATCCAAATGCCACCCAAGGCACAACGTGCCTCCTAAGTGCCTTGAATGGCACATACGTTCCCCTTCAAGCACATCATCTCCCACATACAACGGATAGCTCAGTCATTCTCTGCTTCTTGATGTCTAACACAGAACTGTAGAAGACCCTTAGACCCAGCAAACAAGTTTGGGGTAGGTGGGGATTATTTACATTGGGGGGAAACAGCCTGAGGCCCAAGGGGTCAACATCCCTCAACATTACATCCCCAGTCTAATCCTCAATATTACATCCGCTCCCCTCAACATTACATACCCAGTCTGATCCTCAACACTGCATCTAGTTTGAAACATTCTATCCCACTGTAACCCACTTTTAGCCTTAAGGGGGAAAATACCCGTGATATTCTAATCATGGATCTCCCAGGTCATCGTCCCATGTCATGTTTGGCAAGACAGCAAGAAAGAGATGCTTTTGCTAATGGGTGTGTGGGGGAAAGGCATGTGTGTATAAGTGAGAGAGATCATTCACACGTCAACACTGTAAGAAAGAGATGCTTTTGCTAATGGGTGTGTGTGTGGGGGAAAGGCGTGTGTGTATGAGTGAGAGAGATCATTCACACATGTCAACACTGTAATCCTGTCTCTGACCTATCTTTTCTAGATGAGCAGTTCTCTGTTTAAAGTGGTACCAGTTTTGTTTTCACTTTTGTCACAGGATACCAAGTACACTGTGTTGTACAGACACCGGTGTAACAAGCCATAGTTTTGCTCTGCAAGGGCTGTAAGCAAACACGATGGCGTGTCCAAGTCCCACACTGTTCCTGCTCGACCTTCCTTCTCTGTGAAGGATCCAGAAGCATCTCTTGCCCAGAATGCTATCTGTAGAGAGGGACCTATCTCAAGATGTCCCCAATGCGGAGGCTGAAAGTGCTCTGTCAATTGCCGTCAAGTCACAGCTGACGTCTGGTGACCCTGTAGGGTTTTACATGCAAGAGACTTTCAGAGGTGGTTTGCCATTGCCTGCCTCTGCGTAGCCACCCTGGACTTCCTTGGTGGTCTCCCGTCCAAGTATTAACCAGGGCTGACCCTGCTTAGCTTCTGAGATCTGACAAGATCTGGACCATCCATAACAGGGAACAAGTTCATCTAATTCCCCACCCATCTCTCCCGCTACTCACCAAGATTATCCACCCCACGGGGGATAATGACATCAGCATACTTCTTGGTCTGCAAGAACCAAAGAGGTCCATGTTAAAGAGGACCGCAAGAGTGGTCATGAATTCACCCTCTCAATTGACCAAGAGTTTTTCTTCGTATCACAATATTAGTGGAATAACTACTGGAAATGCCTTTTCTCGTCTGTTGGCCCTCTGGCAGGACTGGTGCTAGTCCCTGAATGCCCGAGCAAAGAGCCTGAAGAACTGCCCTTTCCTCTGCTCTCGACAGCCGCTTGTAGCTAATGCCAGGAACACTCATAAGGAGTCTGTAGAAATACTCCCCCCGGGAACCCCAAAGCGTGAGCGTTCCTGCCAGTTCTTGCCCCCAGTCCCAAGAGCTGGAGATGAAAGCTAGAGGACACGTGACCCCTGTCAATGGCCCTGAGGATGTTTTCAATACAGTCTCCAGTTTTGGGGCTCAATCGAAAGCAATCTGTGCCAAGCATAATTTATTCAAATACGGCAGTATCCTACCAGCCATGTGCAGGCATGGAGCTTTTTCGCTCCCCGTTGCTGTCAATGGCTGCAGCTCTTTCCAGCTCCCAAGGGGGCAGGATCCGTGCAGAGGAGCAGCTGTGGGGTTTGGCAGGCTGGAGTGAGGAGAGATAAAGGAGGAAGGGATTTTTAAGCTCCCTTTTCTCTCCTTGCTCCAGCCCCGCCCCCCAACCCACACGACTGTTCTTTCATGCAGGTCCTGCAACCCCAGGACTGATCTCTCCAGGAGTCAGACAGAGAGACGGCAGATACTACACCTTTCGCAAATGGGAGCGGGAAGATAACTGCCTTGAATTTAGGGTTGTTGATTTTTAATCGCATTCGCGTCAACCAAGAGTCTTTCACTCAGCTACTGTTAAATTTATATTTCCCAGAGCAGACGTCTCCCTGTTCCATGGTAATCCAGCGCTGCTCGAAGCTGCGACGCTCAAACAGCAGTTCTCTCCACCCCAGCTGTTTCCTGCCACCTCACCTCATACCATCCCTAGCTGGAATCAAAGGATACAGACCGAATGTCCCTCCCCTTCTGTGCCTGCCGGCCTGCGCAGCCCACAAATTTGCAAGCCGGGGCTGACGGACCTGCACGCCGAGCTACTCACAGGCAAGCAGAATTCTTCGAAGGCTGGCTTGACGAAGGAGATATACTGAGTTAAGATCTGCTCGAGGTTCCTGCCCCGCTCGCTGATGTCTCGGAGAACTGCAAGGCGGAAGAGAACCGTGAACAGGTCAGCGATGGCAGTCGCGCTACCACACCGCTCCACAGGGGGGCGAAGTGAGCAGCGTGGGGTCTGTCTTCTCCAGAAAGAGCCTCCATAACCTATCTTCTATCCAGGTCTTCCTCCAAGGAGCTCAGGGCGACATTCTCCCCTGCCCTACTTTATCCTCACAGTAGCCCTGCGAGGGAAGGTTAGGCTGAGAGATCGTGACTGGCTCAGGGTCATCTAATGAGCTTTGTGGCAGAGCGGGGATTTGAACCTGGGTCTGCCCCACTCAAACCACGACGCCAACACAGTGGCTTCCTACAAATACAGTGCGGTTTCTTCCGAAGGTACAGAAATCAGAAGCTGGAAAGAGGCTTCTAGGGGCTGGGACTTCAGGGCTCCACAGGATTCTCCTGCTCTCCCTACAACCCATCTCCCACCCAGCTTTGCACACACCCACCCACATCTCGTTGGGCAAGTCCTTCTGCTTCTCCTTCTCCTAGTCCAGGGGTCTGCAGCTTACACCTCTAGAGCCAAATGTGGCTCAGTGCAGGACAAAATATCATCTTTTAAAAAAATCTTTAAGTTAAGGTGCATGCCAGAATAACCAGTATGTGCAGGGCACGGCAGGCAAAGATTTTTATGGCACCAAAGAAGAAGAAGAGACTGGATTTATACCCCACCCTGGGTATAAAATAACAGGGTTTTTTTCCCCGAGCTTCAAAATTTCCGGAAATTTTACATCTCTAGGACTCTTTAGTTATAAAGAAGTTGCTAAGGAGTCTTGGAGGAATGATGAGTTGGTAGTGAAAGGGAGACGATGCAGAAGGCAGACATGAGATTTATTTCATTTAAAGCAACAGAGACTCCAACCCAGTTTATTCTGTGGACATATCCCACCTTTCCCTTTTGGGGCTCAAGGCATCTTATAATTGATTCCGCTAAAATTAAAGTTGCCAGCAGGCTTGGAGAAAAAAGGTCCTGTCCCTTTAATAGAGGCTTTAAAGTGTGGGAATGAGTAGTTGAATCTTTTCCTGGCGTGGAACATGACAAGGTAAATAATATCCCATTAAAGGGACAGTTTCCTCTGGGCCCTTAGCAACCTTCCCTGTGGTTCTGAGATTACATAAAATAGTCTGTTAAAAACACAAGCTGCTTCCCAACTTTCTTTGAACAAAGGTCTTCATTTATCCTGGTGGTGTTAAAATACGAACGGTTACACAGTAGCGCAGGCTAATTGGCCATTTCGCCCACTGAAAATCACGCCTACTCCTGTCTGCACAGCCTTGGAAGACCTAGGTTCAAATCCTCACTGACATGAAGCGTGCTGGGAGACCTTGGGCCTGTCACTCTCTCAGCCTAGCCTACCTCACAGAGTCGCTGTGAGGATAAAATGGGGAAATGAGAACCGTGGATAGCGCCATGACCTACTTGGGAGAAAGGATGGGATAGAAATGTCTCAGACAGACACGTCCAGATGGAAGATCGCATCTCCCAACTTACCCCTGCGGGAGAGACGGGTGTCTGCATCTGTATCCACGAAGAGTTTCATCTGGAACAGGTCCCGGAGCTCTTGGCTGTAGAAGGCCAGGATGCCTTCAAAAAGCACCACGTCTGCAGGGTAGACGGTCACGGCTTCTTCCTTGCTGTCAACGTACACAAGAAAGAAGCCAATCAGAAATCAGGGGGGGGAAATAACACAACTCCCCCACACGTGGTTCCCTGGGTGTACCGTTTTATGGTGTAATCAAGTTACACACGCTGGAGACTCACTGCATCCGCTGGAGAGCCTCAAGGGGGCCACTAATACTGCAGTCCTAAGTGGGTAATACTCAGAAGTAAGGCCCACTGAGATCTATGGGACTGACTCCCTTGTAAGTGTGCTCAAGGTTGCAGCCCCAAGTCCTTTGCACTGGTACATCTTCAAGGCACACGGGAGAAGCCAGGAACAGAACCTGGGGCCTTCTGCACCCAAAGCAGATGCTCTGCCACTAAGCCACAGCCCCTCCCCCCCTCGCCCTCAATGTCCCGGCATATTTGGCCAGATTCACTGCAAGGACATGTGGAGGGAGAAAACGACTCTGTTCTGTCTGCTCTCGTGGCCGTGTGGTTAAAACCCTGATCTACGGTGTTGGTTCTATTGGCACCACCTGCTTGGTGACTGTGGCGGGCCAAAGACACGCTTTGCCTTCAATCTATATGGCAAGATTTGTGATTCCCCCACTTCTTATTTCTTATTTCACTGCCACAGGAGGTGGTGGTGGCTACAAGCATGGACGGCTTCAAGAGGGAATTGGATAAGCATATGGAACAGAGGTCCCTCAGTGGCTATTAGCCACAAAGTATAGATAGGAACTCTTGGTCTGGGGCAAGGGATGCTCTGTATTCTTGGTGCTTGGGGGGGGGGGCAGCAGTGGGAGGGCTTCTAGTGTCCTGGCCCCACTGCTGGACCTCCTGATGGCCCCTGGTATTTTTGGCCACCGTGTGACAGTGTGTTGGACTGGATGGGCCTTTGGCCTGATCCAACATTGGCTTCTCTTATGTTCTATTTTACATCATGATGTTTCATTCCCCTAAGTTACCACAGAGGACATAGAGAACCTTCTCCAAAAGTGTACGAATGGTGACTTCTTCCCTGGTGGCTTATCTTGGTGTCTTCCCTTCCTGTCCCTTGCAAAAGGCTTGTTTCATCCAAAGAAGCAGGACTCCGTTCCTCGTTTGGGACAGGCCCCGAAGACCTGCAGTCCACACTTGCCCCCTCTCTAAGAAACTGTGATGCTGGCTGGCCAAAGTGGGATGAAGGCCCATCCTTTTGCTGGGCGATTTCCTGTCCACGGAGTGGGATTCAAACGCCCACCTGGAGGGAATCTTTGAAAAGGGTGACCAAGGTTATTAGGGGAGTGGGAAACCTTCCCTGTGAGGAAAGGCTGAAGAGTCTGGGACATGATCGAGGTTTCTAAAATTGTGCATGGGATGGAAAGAGTTGGCAAAGGGAACATTTCCCCTTCTCCCAAAATACTAAAACTCGAGGGCATCCAGCTAAGCTGCTGGATCAGACCAGTGGTCCATCTAGTCCAGCATCCTGTCTCACACAGTGGTCAACCAGTTCCTCTGGAGGTCCAACAACAGGGCATAGAGGCCGAGGCCTTCCACTGATCTTGCCTCCTGGCATTGTCTCTGGACATGGAGGTTCCCTTGTTTGAGGACACTCCAGCTCTGGCTAAGATAGGCTGCGGTCACACGGAGCATTAGCCACGCTACAGAAGTGGAAGATAGGTGGATTTTCCGGGCGCAATCACACCGCCACATCTGGGAAGCGTAGCGCTCCCGTGGCTCACCCGAGGCTTCCCGCCGAAGATCCGGGGCAAAAAACTAGTACCTCCGAGGTACTCGTTTCCGGAAACCGCGGGGCAAGGGCGGGCGTCTGATCGCATTTCCGGTGGCATCCGGCGCCCGCCCATGTCCCCTCGCAAACAGGTAATTTTTTCCTCCAAGGCTCCACGGATGCGCACAAGCACCCAATGGAGCATGCGCACACTTCAGTTTTAAAAAGTTTTTTTAAAAAAACAACCCCGTTTGCCGCCCCGCCCCGCTTCTTTGCCTGTGGTGTGATCGGCACCTCCCCCCTAGCCACGGGACCTCGACGGGACCTCAACCGGATGTCTGATCGCGCAGTCGCGCATTAGTGTGCCTCGGGGCAAACAGCCACGCTCCCCCCCTGCATTTTCCAGCCCGTGTGACCGGGGCCTTAGTCACATTGGTATTCCTGGACCAGAACTGGAAGATGTTCACATTCAACAGCTGGGCATTTGGTTCCCTTTAGTAACCAGGGCTAGTAGCCACGGATAGACCTCTTCTCCATAAATCTCTCTAATTCCTTTTTAAAGCTGTGGATTCCTGTGGCCATCACTGCGTCCACTGGCAGCAAACTCCATATTTTAATCACTCGCCGTGTATAGAAGTATTTCCTTTCATCCATCCTGATCCTGAATCGACTGCCCATCAGAGAGAACGCAACATCCCAATCACAGGGGAGAGGCCCAGATTTACCGAGAGTGGGAGACAAAGTCATAGACAGGTATCTGGACTGTTTTCCCCTCCATGATCTTGCTGAGTGTCTGGACGATCAACTCGTTGTCAAAGGCATCTGCAAGGGAGAAGAAGAAGCAAACAAATTAAAACGGCTCTCAGAATAAGGGACAGGCCTCCCTATGGAGAGATCCCAGGGGAAACAACAGGCCTCTCTCTGGTGCTTCTTGGTGTACGTCTTAAGGTGATGCACAGTGTCCTACGATCCTTGAAAAGATCCTGCTTGTTTCAGTGAGGCTGACCCTGGGACTGCACTCCCTGGATCACATCTGGCTGGCTCCTTTTCTATTGTCCTCAACGGCACTCATAACCAGTCTGGGCAATTAACGCCATTTAGAATGAGCCTTGCGTCATTACACTAAAAACAAACCAATCGGCTAGTCGTTTCATCTAGCGTCCTGCCACATTCCCAGCAACCACCAGAACACTCTCCATCTTGAGTTCGGCAAGTTTTTGGGGCTGTGGCTCTATGGCGGTGTCTCCTGTGGTAGGGGCTAAAGGGTTGGGTGCCTCTCGCCCTCCGCGTCTCCCTTCCTTCCCCGGCCACCGCGGCCCGTCACCTGGGTGGTCGAAGTTGTACTGGCCCTTGAGGGCTTTGGCCTTCTGCTCCGCAGTGAGGACCCGGTAGAAGCTGTCCTGGCTCAGAATCACCACCTGCTTCTGGCGGTGGTCTACTTCGTTCTGCCCCAGCAGTTCAACGATTTTGGCGCAGACGGAGGACTGCAGGAGAGGTGAAGAAAGGACAGAGTGAGCAGCTACACTGGCACCAGAAAGGAAGAACTCTGAACTGCCAAAAGGGGGGGAGGCAAGGCCAAAGGGGGTCCTGGGGCTGTTCGGGGCCCACGACCTACCCCTGCTTAGTGGGGTGGTGGCAAAGTCATCTGGCTGTGCTTCACAGCTCAGTGAAGTTCAGAAGCCAGCGTGTTGTAGGGGCTACTAGACTAGGCTCCAGGAGTACCAGATTTGAGTCCCCGTTCTGCCATGGAAGGATCGCTGGGTGACCTTTGGCCAATCACACATGCTCAGCCTAACCTACCTCATGGGGTTGTGGGGAAGAGACGATGGAAGAAGGGAGAATGTTGTAAGCTACCCTGGATCCCCACTGGGGACAAAAGTGGTTTATAAATAATGTAAACTAACAAATAGAGAAGGCCTTTGCCCCTTCTAGCCCACCAGTCCAGCAACCAAACCACTCTTATGGGTGCTCTTGCCCTAGCTATTAACATCCTGTGCACATCCAGAACACAGGAAGAGCCCTGCTGGACCAGACCATTTAGATCAGCACCCTGCCTCACACAGTGGCCAACCAGTTCCTCTGGAGAAGAAAAGAAGTGGCCAACCAGTTCCTCTGGAGAAGAAGACCCCGAAGGAGTCTCAGCGTGGCTTACAATCTCCTTTCCCTCCCCCTCCGCACAACAGACACCCTGTGAGGTAGGTGGGGCTGAGAGAACTCTTTCGAGAACTGCTTGGGAGAGAACAGCTCTGAGGGAGCTTGTGACTGACCCCAGGTCACACCAGCAGCTGCATGTGGAGGAGTGGGGAACCAAACCCGGTTCTCCCAGATTAGAGTCTGCACAACTTGGCCAACAACCGGGCATAGAGGCCGAGACCTTTCCCTGATGTTGCTTCCTGGCACTGGGACCCAGAGGTTGACTGCCTCTGAATGCGGAGGTTCCGTGCCCTTTTAGAGCCTGTGGCCATCACTACATCCTCCGGCAGCAGATTCCACATTTTAATCACTCACTGTGTAAAGAAGTATTCCCTTTTATCTGACTTGAACTTACTGCCCATCAGCTTCATTGGATGCCCTCGGGTTCTAGTATTTTAGAAGGAGAAAAAGTTCTAGTATCAGAAGAAGTGTGCTTGTACACAAAAGCTTATACCTTGAATTAAACTTTGTTGGCCTTACAGGTGCCACTGGACTCAAACTTTGTTCTAGTATTTTGGAAGAGGAAGACAGACACAGTAGTATAGTGTATCTCTTTCCGTTTCTTGCTGCTTGGAAACACTTCCCTTTTTTCTGTGCTAGTGCACACATGGGGAATGTTTTTTTGGGTTTTTTTAATGTTCCAGAGAATACAAATTTGGCAGGGCTGCAGGGGAGAGAGGGAACAGGAACGCATACAGGAGCTCAATCTGGCTCACAGGCTGTTAGTTGGCCATCCCTGATCTAGAGTCATTGATCTTGGCTTTGCTCTTATCCACATGTTACAGCCCCCACCGCCTTTCGAAAGAGTTGGTCTCTAGTGACTTATAGAAGAGGGTATTGGCAGAACACACACACAAATGCTTATCCACTCGCCTCGCCCACCCCTCTGCCTTCCCATTCTTCACACTGGAAACACCTCATGCTCCTCGAGACAAGTCAAAACCGTGTGACCCTCACCCATCCTGGAATGAAACGTTCCCACTTCTCTCTTCTTTGTTATCCTTCTGCTTCTATCAGCCTGACCGTCTATCAGTATTGATATACCCGCTGTGAGAAACTGTCCAAAAACAGCTCATCTTCTGGGGCATAACCCTTCCTGGTGCTTCATGGACACTTCTTGAGGTCCTTCTTGTCCAGTTCAAGTTTCCATCTTTGGTCCTTGACAACCAGCAGAGAGCGCGACACCAACTTACACCAAAGGGATCCATCTATTCTATAGATATGGCCACACATACGTCAAGCAAGAAACATATTCTGGTCAATATTTGAAGAGGGTGTGTCAGTCACTGCCTGGCAAATGTGAGTATTGTTTTGTTTTTTAAAAAAATAAATTCCATCTGGAAAAGCCACTAGAGTAGATCCAACCATGCAGTGTTCTTCAGAGGGGTGGCAAATTTCACCGCTTCCCTTCTCCCACTCTGATCCTCTTTGCCCCCTGAAATGTCGTTCCAGGGGGGTTAGCAGACTTCCAGAAACAACATAGTAGGGGGTCTGCAATGGGAGGGAGGAATTGGCAAAAATGGCCACCCTCTGCTTAAGAAAACTTGGGGATACTTAAGTTTTCCTAACATGGTTGGATCCAACCCGCTATGTCAAAATATGAGATTCAGGAGTAATCCTGAACAGGTCTATTGAACTATGCTTACTCCCAGGAAATTGTTTTTAGGATTGCACTGTCAGTCACAAGGTGGCTGAGATCTGAGCTTTTCATTCTCTAACTCTTGGTTTCATGAAACCCCACATGTCACATAGAGCTACCTTATATCGTTATCAGACCTTTCATCTATCAAGGTTAGGACTGTCTACTTGTGACCACCAGTGTGTCTCCACAGCCTCAGACAGAGGTCCTTCACCTGTTACCCGATCCTTTCGAACCTGGGACTTTCGGCATGCCCACCAGACACTCCACCACTAAGCCACGGTCCTCAGCTGACCTTGGGCCATGATCATCTCACTAAAAAGAGCCAAAGAACAGACTAGCATGTGCCATGGTGATAGAGGAGACATCCACCCTCACAGTTCACATTTGATGTAGGGGAAATTAGGGAGTTCTTGTAGGCAAGCCTACAAGGCAGAAACTCGGGATCCCTCAGAATTACAGCTCATCTCCAGACCACAGAGATCAGTTCCCCAGGAGAAAATGGATGCTTTGGAGGGTGGACTCTGTGGCACCGTACCCCACTGAGGTCCCTGTCCTCTCCAGGCTCCCATCCCCAAATCTCCAGCAGTTTCCCATCCTGGATCTGGCAACCCTATCCCCCGCACCCCACCAGTGGCCAGGAAGGACCTGGCAACCCCATGTTCTAGCATCCCACCCCAGCAGAGGACAGACGTAGAGAGACAGGGAAAGAAAAAGATCTCCAAGGCAATTCCTAGTTAGCAAAAAAGAAATCACAGGCCCAGGCAGGATGGGAACTCAGTTCTCGATCAGCCACAGTACTTCATCATGTTCAGAATGCCATTTGCTCCCAGTTCCCATATTTCACAAAGGGAAACAGAGATACTTGTGCAATCCTAAACAGAGCTACACCCTTCAATTAAAGTCAATGGTCTTAGGAGAAGCGTTAACTCTTTAGGATTGCACTGTTAATCTTGGGAGTCTCAAAATGCATTTCACCACTGTGAGAGACAGCAGGCTCTGTGCCATGTGCATTTGCCCAAGATGCATTCACTCAGAGATTAACAGTGCAACCCCCGGGCTTAGACGGAAGAAACTGTTAAATTTCTACAGACCCTGGAGAGGTTGTTGTTGCACCCTCAGCTCTAGCTAGCATCATTCTAGTACGGCATTCCCAAGGCCAAATATATGGACAAAACTAAGAAAGCCATTCACTATAGTCAGGCAGCAGAAAACAGGGACTCTTTCTGATGAAGAGAGACTCCTTGGAGAACATGAAAAGTTTTGTGTTCTGAACACTGCTTCTGCCTGGCTCCAGCAAAACGTGCGAGATCCGAACACTCCATTAAAACAAGGAAATAGGACTGGGTTGTCAGGGCTCCCCCAGATAAGTGTCTCAGAGGTCACAGCACCATATTTGATGGGCACCTGACAGAATCCCTTCAAAATGTTATCTCATCACTTCCTCTCCTAGGAGTCTCTGTTTCTTTATAGGTTCTCAGTCACTGAGGGTTGGGTTGGCCTGTCTGGCTGGGTAGAAGATGTCTCCTTTTCTCTGCCCAGGGTCTATCCCTTCAGGGCAGTGTCTCAGGGCTTTCTGTTGAGCTCCGTGGCAATGCCTGTTCAGGCTCCCCATTCCCTGCTTCACAGCCTCTTGATAATTCTCCTCATTACTTGACTGCCCGGCCACAAAAGCAGCCATATTTCCGCGGAGGCTTTCCTCAGGTGAATTCTAAAAGGCCATTTCAGATGCCACCACTTTCAGATGCCACCACTCGAATGATAAAAGGGTTGGAACACTTTCCCTATGAGGAAAGATTAAAGTGCTTGGGGCTCTTTAGCTTGGAGACTGAGGGGTGACATGATTGAGGTTTATAAGATTATGCATGGGACAGAGCAGGTAGGGCAAGAGGTACTTTTCTCCCTTTCTCACAATACAAGAACTCGTGGGCACTCAATGAAATTGCTGAGCGGTCGGGTTAGAACGGATAAAAGGAAGTACTTCTTCACCCAAAGAGTGATTAACACATGGAATTCACTGCCACAGGAGGTAGTGGCGGCTACAAGCATGGACGGCTTCAAGAGGGAATTAGATAAGCATCTGGAGCAGAGGTCCATCAGTGGCTATTAGCCACAAGGTATAGATAGGGGCTTGAAGGTCAAAGAAGACGGGGACGGCAAAGGATGAGATGGTTAGACAGTGTCATCGATGCAACAAACATGAAATTGAGCCAACTTCAGAAGACGGCGGAAGACAGGAGGGCCTGGCGGGAGATGGTCCATGGGGTCGCGGGAGTCGGACTCGACTGTGCGACTGAACAACAACAACAATAGATAGGGGCTCTGGGGCAAGGGATGCTCTGTCTTCTTGGTGCTTGGGGAGGGTCAACAGTGGGAGGTCTTCTAATGTCCTGGATCTCCTGATGGCACCTGGCATTTCTGGCCACTGTGTGACACAGAGTGTTGGGACTGGATGGGCCTTTGGCCTGATCCAACACTGGCGTCTCTTATGTTCTTATGAGGCCACATATGAAACCAAAAGCTTTTGGAGGGTTTATGATAGTGAGGGAGGGGGGAGTGTGTTGTAACACAGTTGCTGAATAAAGAGATTTGTTCTCTCTCTTCACTGGACTTCCGGTTCTGAACTGTACAAAATTCCCATCAGAACTGCCTTAGAACTGTGTATGAGGATAAGCCCCTCCTCTTGTCCTTCTGACAACAGGGGTTTGTTCCCTGTTTT